ATTTTTTGAACCAGGCTGTAAACATGTTTTTTTCTGCTGTAAAGTTGGCCATTTTAACATGGGGAGTCTATGGGATTGACTCCGTTTTGCAGCCAGCCTCTAGCGGCCAGTTGACGAATTACAGTTTAAGTCACTTCCTTGTTGGCTTCACGAGAGAGAGCGGGAGGTTGACTAAAACTGCAATTCATCGACTGGCCGCTAGAGGCTGGCTCCAAAAGGGAGTCAATCCCATAGAGTACTCATAGCCTGGTACAAAAAATGATTTTGTTCTATATAGCTAATTTTGCCCTTCATGACAATTGTGAAGGGGGTGAATTTTTGTATAACTCATCCGTTTAAATTATATTAAGCCTTAAAGTTCTGCATAATTAAGGAACTTGAGTGACAGGTGGATTACCGCTGCTGTCACTGGCGTCGAGCTAGGTGGGCGTGATATCAGCAACCCGCCTCTTTGCCCATTTTCGATTATCCGGGAGTGACGCGCGGTGACGTGCTGCCAAGATGGCGACGGCCGGCTCCGCCCACTTTGAGCTTCAAAACCGCTCTTCAGAAACCTACGGGTGACGTCACGGACACCACGTCCATGTTTTTATACAGTCCATGGTTCAAACTCGGGTCGATCGCATCAAAAAGTCTTACCATCTACGCCACTGAAACTGATATTTAATGAGCATCTTTTTTCAGTGTTGACGATTCCAATCAGACGTTGGTGGGCGGAGTTAGTGTAAATAGCCTCTGCCAACAAGGCAGGCTATTTGCACTTAGTGTAAATAGACACTCCGTAAAAGGCAATGAACCCTCAGCAATGTTTGCAACATAACACTGTATTGAATTTGCTAATTTTTTTATATATGTATTTTTTTTCTTAAACATTACAAGAAATTTAGGATTAAAGTTTAAAAATTTACTTAATAGCCACTATTAATGCAGTCTTTTATACAGTGTCTTTTTTAATACATATTACATTACTAATAGCCATACATAAGGGTACATTTTTCGAAATTGAGATTTATACACAGCTTTCCATTGATGTATGGTTTGTTAGGATAGGACAATATTTGGCTGAGATACAACTTGAAAATCTGGAATCTGAGGGTGCAAAAAAATCTAAATATTGAGAAAATCGCCTTTAAAGTTGTCCAAATGAAGTTCTTAGCAATGCATATTACTAATCAAAAATTAAGTTATATATTTACAGTTGGAAATTTACAAAATATCTTCATGGAACATGATCTTTACTTAATATCCTAATGATTTTTGGTATAAAAGAAAAATCAATAATTTTGACCCATACAGTGTATTTTTGGCTATTGCTACAAATATACCCCAGCGACTTAAGACAGGTTTTGTGCTCCAGGGTCACATATAGTAACATCAGCACTGTAACAAATGAATGCAGTTGTCGGAGTTGTATTGACTGAATTGATCACAATGTTCCTATTTCTTCAAAGTTGGTGAGAATAGCTAAAGTTCTTGGAACAGAAGATCTTTATGATTGCATTGATAAATACAACATTGAGCTGGAGCCTCGATTTAATGACATTCTGGGAAGGTGAGCCCTCCTTATAACCTGACATTGTTAGCACTATCTTCTGTAATATGATTTTAGCCAATTTACATTTACTTCATGTTAGACATTCCCGCAAGCGATGGGAGCGGTTCGTTCACAGTGAAAACCAACACTTGGTCAGTCCTGAAGCTCTTGACTTTCTGGACAAGTTGTTGTGTTACGACCATCAGACCAGACTGACTGCGAGAGAGGCCATGGAGCACCCCTACTTCTGTAATTGCATTTGAAATATTACATTAGCACCAGGTCTATTGAATTACTATGAAGAGAATTTCATTTGATTTTATAGATTTACATTAATAAATACTAGTATTTTGAATTAATTATGAAATCTTGCCCCTCGCCTTAGTCCCTGTCGTGAAAGATCAGACTCGCATCGCAGGATCAACTACTGTGCCAACAACTAACCCTGCAGTGAGCACTGCCACTATGATAACAGGTGAGCTACCGAGCATATATCAGACTCTTCGCCTGCTTTAAAATGTCATTATAATGATATTAATGATTCAAGCACACCCCCACATTTTTGTTAGATTTTGTCCATAGTACTTGGCATGCTTTAAGTCTGGAAAATTCCTTTAAGCACAGGTCACAGAATCAAGAACAACAGAATTACGATTTTATACTAATTAAAAATTATAAGCAAATTTATTTGTACTTTACAATTTTGTGCCAATAAGTGGACCTGCCTGCAGACTGCTCAGAAGTTTGGGATCAGAGAGGTTTTTTGTTGTAGTTGCTTGTTTGTTTTTGAAAGAAATTGATACTTTTATTTGGCAAAATATGCATTAATTGATCAAATGACTCAAAGGTGATCAAAACACTTACAATTGTTACCTGATGAAAGCGTTCTTAATGGAACTAAGCTTGTTTCTGCCACAGGATGAAAAAAAAAAGGAAAAAAAAAAAAAAAAAAAAAAAAAAAAAAAAAAAAAAATAAGTAAATGTAACTTTTTATTTCACAATTCTGACTTTGTTCTCGCAATTCTGAGTTTGCAAACATAAACTTAGAATTCTGACTTTACCAAGTTTACAGCTTCTGGCTTTTTTTTTTTTTTTAGTTCCGAGTTTACAGCTCATTGGTTATGTTTTTTCCTCCATGGAATAAAAAAAAGGTAATTGCCTTGTATCTCTTAATTCAGACTTTTTTTCGCAGAATTGCGAGTTCACATCTTATGCAATCCGGGGTTTACATCTCAGGATTCTGACTCAGAATTGCAAAAAAAGAAGTCAGAATTGTGAGCTAAAAAGTCTTAATAACCTTTTTTTAATCCCTTGGCAGAAGTTTCCATAGTGCGTTTAAACTTTATTCATCAAGCATTTTCTTCAAAGAGCCCTGAAATAAAATGCATCATGGTTTCCAGAAAAATATAAGTGTTTTCAACACTGATAATAAGAAATGTTTCTTGAGCACCAAATAAGCATGACCAAGTTTGAGTAGAGCTCACGTGTACATCCAAGGAATTGCTTGTGTCACTAGAGTGTTTGAGATTCCTCTTTTTCCCGACTGCTTCACCAGGAATAGCTGCGCTTCCAGCCTCCACAGCTCTAGGGCCCCTGACGGGTTCCCCCATTCTCATGGCCCCCAGCAGCCTAAACACTCCAGTGCCTGCAGCCACGGGGGCCGCTCAGTGACCTGTCAGTCCTGTCACATCAAACCTGCTGAGGATCTCTGGGACTGTTGTTAGATAGAGCTCCTCAGCACCACAACCCCTCAGTTTATCTGAAACTGCATGCACTTCATCATGAGATGTTCACCTTCATGCATTTACCTCAGGCAGAAGTGTGCAGGATGTGTTTGAGAGCTTATTCACAGAAAGAGAATCGTCCTGTGTGATATTACATACATTGTCCTGCCATTAAACAGCTTAGCTGGACTATTGATGGACTATTTCTTGGTAGCACAGTATTTCTGTCAGCAGTCAATGAGCAAATCCTCTCTCAAGAGTGAAATGATACTGCCGTTATACAGCTGTGGCCATAGTTCGGAGTGTGTATTGGTGCTGTTTACTGTAGCTCACATCAGGTCACACCAATCGCCTTGACTCAACACACAGCAGTGTCTTTAGCTCCTCTCACTGTGGATGTCCCGTATAAATGGCAATGCTGTGGCTTTTTTTTTTTTTTTTATAAATACAGCAATCCATAACTTCTGTAATATCCATAATCCAGTAATAAAGAATCATTGCTGATCCAGTCTTTGTATTCCGTTCATTTGACTGAACCAAAATTAACAGTGTGGCTATGGAAATATACCAACAGTTTTTATTAGACAAGCAATTCTGATGGGTTGCAAATAAAGAAATATATTTGTAAGATTTAAATATTATATTTTTAAAATTCATACAAAGCAATGATAGTGTTTATAAATATGATGTATTTCATAGGAAAGGGGTTTTATTTTGCACTGTGCCCTACTTTTCTGAGTGCATTGGGGGTTTTTTTCATTGAGCTGCATAGAAGTACATATCAATTTCAGAAATTTCATTTATTAAAAAATCTACATGAAAAATGTTAGACGTTCCTAACATTTCTCTATAACTCTGTTTATTTGTTCTGTGTGCAATTCCACAGCTCATCACATATCGTTTAAACAATGTTTTAATCATTTAAATTGTACATTTTAATGTGCTCTGACACATACAGTGGTGTGAAAAAGTGTTGATGCTTAAACAGTCCATTCATGCTCGAAAACCCTCCAATGTGGCTGAATTAAAACAATTCTGACAAGAAGAGTGGGCCAAAATTCCTCCACAGCGCTGTAACAGACTCATTGCCAGTTATCGCAAACACTTGATTGCAGTTGTTGCTGCAAAGCGTGGCACAACCAGTTATTAGATTTAGGGGGCAATTACTTTTTCATGTAGGTCCAGGCAGGTTTGGACTGGTAAGGTTTGGCCCTTAATAAAATAAATAATCATTTAAAAACTGCATTTTGTATTTACTTGCATTATCTTTGTGTAATATTAAAATTAGTTTGATGATCTAAATCTTTTAAGTGTGACAAATATGCAAAAAATTAAAAAAAACAGGAAGGGGGCCAACACTTTTTCACACCACTGTAGATTTTGTCACACACTGCAAAAGCCATAAAATAAGAGTCAAGTATGTATACTTATTCCAAATTATAATTACAAAAGTATTTCATGATTTCATAAAGATTTATCACTAGTAAATATCACATGCATGTGAACCAACCACGTGAATCATATAGCTCCTACAAAAGAGAAAACACAAATAGATAGCCATTATCATTAAAACATTGAACAATATTATCCAGTGAACAGATTGATCCGTATTGATGGTCAGAAGAGGCATTTCATAACTTTCTGCTTCATGTCAGGTTGTTGTGCTTGTCAAGTGAACTCTCTGATACCCTGGGGAGAAATGTCTTCTTTGGAAAATATTGCAGAATTCCTCTCTGTGAATAAATCCAAAAGAAAGAACAGATTTTGAGTAATGCATTGACTGGATGTTGTCAGATATTGCTGAACTGCATCAAGCTACAACTTTTACTTGTAATGGAGTAATATTTGACAAGCGGTATCTGTACTTTCACTCAAGTAATGGATTTGAGTACTTTGTCCGCCTCTGAGCACAAGTCAGAGTCCATTACTATTCCAGTTCCTTCTGACCAAATTGCTTTACTCCAACGGAAAAACATGCTTTTCTGGTCACAACAGCGAACATGTTCTCGTACCGTGTCTGAGAGAGTTCTCTGTCAATTTTATGAAGAGATTTTCCTTTGGTTTCTGGTAGTACAATGTAGATGAACACAACTGCTGCCATTCCGATAACTCCATACACAAAGAATATTCCAGATAGACCGATCACATCTGAGAAGAATGAAAAATGTCATTGAAATATGCTGAAAATTATTTGCAAATACATTTCATATAATGACGACTGACTTTGTGTGTAGCCGTGGTCGTTGTGCATACCTGTTATACTCAAGAAAGAAAAGGTAACTATGAGGTTGGCCTCCACATTGAAGCAGTTGATGAATGAATAGGCTCTTCCCCTGACTTCCTTTGGAAATATCTCACTTAGCACAAGCCATGTCACTGTGAACCAAATATGCAATTAGTACTAGCTGTTGTGTAGCATCAAATACTGGTAGATGAAGGAATTTCTGTGCCAATAGGCGCACCAAGCAGCTATTTGGACATTGCTGTTTAACTGTATAGTCAAACTGATAGACAATTTTGGTTGGTGCTGTCAGCTACATTTTTAACGTAGAGTAAATGTATGGTAATACTCCAAGAAAACGTACTTGGTCCAAAGCTGACTGAGAAGGCACTTTACAACTGTCATCATGCAGATCAAATAATCCATTTATACATGTCCTCTGAGTGTGAAGAAATATTTGAATCTCCATAAGCATCATGTGTTTCACGTCCAGCAGATGGAGTACTTTGATTGACTAAGTTGATGCCCACGTTTTCTTGATTTTCAGCTGGTGAGGTCAAATTTGAATGTGGTTCTAATGAAGTGCACTGTTTTGTTGTATCAATCACGGACTGTCTGCACAAGACACCGGTGACTATCAATCCTATAGCCAGCACTGTTCATCCCCCAGTCAGAAGTGATCTTCGACCAACCTTATCTGAACATACCATTGCCAACAGAGTAGCAATGACTTTGACGATGCAGATGTGTTGCTCTGAAATCCTACAGAGAAAAGGATGGTGGAAGCGTAGAAGAGGACATTAGGCTGACCTGTGAATTGTTGACTGAGCACCAGCCCAAGACCAGTGGCGGTTCTTCTGCACATGTTGTCTTTGGTTTTGAAAAGGTCAAAGACACTATATTAAACTTGTTCTGTTGGGTGCGGATTCGATATTTCCCCTGCTAATCTATCAGATCGCTGGCTATCGTCCTCGGTTACGAGGCCTTCAGAGGTACCGGTTGTCTGAGGTAAAAACCCAATGGACACCAACTGCATGAGAGATGGTATAATAGCAAGTCAAAACATGTACCTCCATCCTGCTTGGACACCAGATAAAACATAGTTGAGTGCATAGGCCAACAAGATCCCAAATGTAATTCCAACTTTGTACAGGGTAAGCATCAACCCTCTGCGTTTGGGAGCAACCATCTCAAAGACAAAGATGCAGCAGCTCATGGAAGAAATGCTCATTGCAAAACCAATGATGGCCCTACCAACCACCAGTGCCAAAAAAAAGAGATGCTTGTAGTTAGGATAATGGTGCCTCCCAGGATGAGGAGATTACTCAGTAAAATGGATGTCCTCCTGCCATGACGATCAATCAGCCAGCCACCAATCACAGATGCTGACAATAATCCGATCAGAAGAGCGCTAACCATGGCTTCCTGCTGGACACAACCCAGATAGAACTGAGCTTGAAGCTGCGGCAGAGCGCCGGATATTATTCCAAGCTCATAGCCGAACACTAGGCCACCAAGAGTGGACGCAATGATAGTGAGCACCAGGACAGAGCGACCTAGAAAAGAGAAAGTAGCACACAAATAACACAGAAGATAACTTTAATGTGGAACCGTGAAGAACCTTTAACATCCATGGAACCTTCACTGCACAAAAGTAATAATCTGGTTCTTCAGATTATTGAAATATTATTCACACTAAAAATGGTTCTTTTAAGAACTGCTAACAGAAAGGTTCTTTGTGGAACCCAAATGGTTCAGCTATTGCATTGCTACAAAACCCCCCTTTTGAACCTTCATTTTTAATAAGAGTATACGGTGAACCAGGACTTTTTCTTGGTGTTCTGACCTGCTCAGGATCCAGAGCAGATTAAAAAGGTCATATATATAAAATTACAACGTGTACTACCATCCAATAAATGTGTTAAAAATTTAAGTAGCACATCTCCTTCGGGCACATATGAAAATATTTCATAATTGAAATATTCAAATAGCCTATTAGATTAGGACACTACCCTGCAAAAATTCTAAATTGCTCAAACATTTGTGCCATCATAGTGTAATACTAGCATTTGGGAGACAGAGAAGAGAAATGCACTATATCTAATGGGAGTTTGGGTGATAAAATAGTGTTTATGTCAACTATCTTTTTAAAGGTTGTTGGACAATGAATATACTAACGATACTAAAATGTGGGGAAACAGGCGGTATGCGCTTGTGTATCTAATAACAGAAGACGTTGTAATACTAGCATTTGGGAGACAGAGAAGAGAAATGCACTATATCTAATGGGAGTTTGGGTGATAAAATAGTGTTTGTCAACTATCTTTTTAAAGGTTGTTGGACAATGAATATACTAACGATACTAAAATGTGGGGAAACAGGCGGTATGCGCTTGTGTATCTAATAACAGAAGACGCGTAAGTAGCATTATTAATTTTTCCCCGGAAGCAGAGAGCAGCACATGGCCGTATGTCACACTCAGGGAGGGTCAGGTTTGAAACATGGCCCACTCAGACTCAGTAAAAGCGGGGGTCCCGTCGTATTTAATGGATGCACAGCAGATTAAACAGGGCGCTGAAGCCCGTATATATCGAGGTACGTTTTTGGGTTGGTCCGTGATTATTAAAGAGAGATTTCCTAAATTATATCGCCACCCTGAAGTCGACGAGAAACTGACGCGCCGCAGAACCACACAGGAGGTGCGATCCATACTGCGATGCAGGAGAGCAGGTCAGTGCACAACAACAGCAGATCCTGCCTGCACACTGCTATGGCGGGCCAGACACTGCAACCGAGTGCTGCTGCTATATATCCTTCTCGTTTCATCGACAGCATGCTCACATATTCACAATAACAAGAATAGGTTTAACCGTGCACACACGATAAATGTGAGTATAGACAATCAATGCAACTTTGGAAATCTGTGGAAAGATACTGTGGAAATCAATTTCTATTCAACTTTTTGGTTACCGACATTCTTCAAAATATCTTTTGTGTTCATCAGAAAAAGAACAGGTTTGAAACAACCTCAGGGTGAGAAGATGGTGACAGACTTTTTTGCTGACTTTTAAGGCTTCAATAGGGAAAATAACTATTATGAATATTTTTAAGCACCTATTTTCCTCCTAGTTGATTTTAAAGGGTCCTGCGGGGTGACAAATGACCTTTTTTCCCCATCACACTGCATATGAGTGCAAACATAAATGTTAAATAAATGAACAAATTTAAATGTAATTAGCATCTACTCTATATGATCGACGACTTTGTTTCCTTTGTCCCAGGTATCAATGCACCCGTTGTTTATTTTGTTGACTACACCACCCACTGCATTTTCTTGGAGGATATTATTCACTCAGTGTCAGTAAGAGACCACATAGCATCGGCTCAAGCATCAGAACAAAACCCACAGCACCTCCAGACTCTAGCAGACAAGATTGGTGAAATCCTGGCTCAGATGCATGATGAAGATGTCATCCATGGTGATCTCACCACCTCCAACATGCTTCTGGTCAGTGGAGCTGAAGACCAGAACATGAAGCTGGTTCTGATTGACTTTGGGTTGAGTTATATTTCTGCTCTACCAGAAGATAAAGGCGTTGACCTGTACGTGTTGGAGAAAGCTTTTCTCAGCACTCATCCCAAAACGGAGACTTTGTTTGAGAGACTTCTGAAAAGTTACACTGCTTCATCCAAAAAGTCCTCGGCGGTCATCAAGAAACTGGATGAAGTTCGATTGAGAGGACGGAAGAGGTCTATGGTCGGATAAAGTGCATTACAGCGTGTATTCTGGCATTGAAATGGTTTCACACAGGATTTGCTACAAGCTTAGAGCTGTAGTTTGATGTTGGAAATGTAGTCATCTTTGTAGTACATGAATGTGTAGGGTTTTTGACGCACTGAACATAACGTAATGAATGGTTCAATCTCAGATTCTCCAATTCAGTGTGAGTGCATAAGACAAATGCAGACCCTCGACTGAAGACTGATTCACACTTGGAAATCCAACAGCTGATCAATTTTTAATGAATGTTGGTCAAAGAGTAACTTTTTTTCATACTGTACTGTTTTATCTAAAGTTCAATATAATTAATATAGTGCAATGCTAATTGCCAAAAAATGGCAGTTGAATTTTTGGAGCCCTACATGATGTTAAACATGTAAATCATCATGTTCAGTGTGCTTCCAAGACCTGCGAATGAAACCAATAAAAAAAACTGCATTCGAGTTTCGCTTTTGTAATGTGCATTTAAAGAAGTAATATACAGATTCTGGACAATCATGACTGATGGTCAAGTCAAATTCGCATTATTTATATACAGTAGTGCTTTATAACACACAGATTGTATAAAGAATAGTGAAAAAAGTTGGAGATGGAGAAAAAACCCTTTGCAGAAACCAGGTTCAGTCGAGTTCTTGTCATGCAGCCTCATCATCAGCATAAACTCACAAGTCAGAATTGAGGATTAATATTATTCAAAGACATTGCATTGCATCCTTCTGCTTGAAAATCAGGGAACATCATACCAGCACGAGTCGTAGTCTGTACAGCAGGTTGAAACATGACGGTAGAGCTGCTGTGATGGTAAAACATGCAATTATAATAGTGTTCATGATCACTTATTTTCAGTTTAATTGATCTCCAAATATAAATGTTAATTCATTCATTGTGCATATAATACAAGAATGTTCCTGGTTGTGCAAAAATACAACATACTTGATAATTAACCAAAATATATTTGCATCCGTGATGTTGCATTTACTGCCTATTGTTGTATTAGAAATCGTTTTTTTATTGTCACTGTACTCCTTGATTTTATGATGAAAATATAGCTATTTTTTAAACAAAACCAAACACAGTAAAGATACAAAAAAACAGAAAGATCGGAACATTTTGCCTGACCAACAGAGATAAAACACCGTTTCAGCATAAATCAAAAGTACAAACACACCATAATAAGATTTTTTTATCCAAAGCAGTAAGCAGACATGGAAGAAATATAAAATACATTGTCATTCCAACCGATGGCACAGAGAACATCCTAACACATGCTGAGATTATTAGGCAAAATGGTCCAAAAATAAAATCCATAAAAACATTAAAACTCCAATAAATAGGAACAAAAACCAAACAGTATTTTAATAATAGCATCAAGGCTGTAGGACATTAAAGGGTTTTAAAAAAGATTTTCATAGCAGTGAACGTTTATTTTAAAAGGTGTTCTGCAGAAATGCATCTAGGTGAAGTCTGCTGGTGAGAATCATAGGAGCAACCAGACTCCAGGTGTATAATGTGAGGCAGACCCAGCTGGATGAGATTTTCACCCACACTGCCGTCCACATGCTCGTCATGCCATTGTAGTCTGCATCAGGACTGCTTTGACAATAAAAATCAATGTTATCATTTCGCATATAATTATATATACACTACTTTTCTATTCAAAATGTTACAAAATTCTTCATCGTACTTCAGTGATCAGTGGGAAACGCACACACCTGTACCAGTTGGTGAGAGTCATAATGATGTAAAGAGACGCCAGGAATTGCAATTATTTGAAAAAATTGCAAGAGTGACAGACAACGACTGCATATATCACAGTAAAAACACTACCTTGAATACAAAATGCAGAGAACAAAAATGGCCAATCCGACGATGCTTTGAGCGTCCCACCACTGCAAATACGGGGCAGATGGCACAGTTTCCTCTATGTCTACAATGATGACGGCCGTCTGGTTCTCTATCTCCAGTGGCACGACTGTGGCGGACGTGATCTGCTGGAAGATGCTGATCAGACTCGGGTTGCATGTGTGGTCTGGAGATGAGGGATGGACACAAACAAAACAACAGATCTTGAAATTAAGCAAATGTATCAATGTGAAAGCAAACTTAAGAATTTCTGAAACAAGTTTTTCCAAGCTTATTGGAAGCCGCAAGGTCAAACATTCTGAATATCATCACATGGTCTAATTTAGCTAAGAAAGAAGACAGCTTAAATGAATAAAAACCTTTGTGAAGCTGCTAACCTGGCTCTTTGGTCATGGCTGACCAGGTGATGTACATGGTGTACAAAGTCATAATGGATGACTGAAGAACACCAGATCTGGGCTGGTATTCCTAGAATTATACACGGTCTCGTTTCACTGGACCATAAATCACAAAAGGACCATAATTGAACACTAAACATGTAGTTACAAATGAAAACTGTGTGGCTTAATTATGTATATACTGTATGGCCGATACAGACTCGCAAATGTCTCAGAGAAAACACTTGTTCCCTTGGCTTTGTAAAAAGAAAATCCAACTATAAATACCTGAATTCTGGGCAGTACAGACAGAGCAGAAGTAATGACACATAATAACATGAAACAGATGAAGAACTTGTTAAGCACGCATCCTTCTGGCTGAGCGTAGATGTTATAGCAGAGAACTGCAGCCGTGAAGGACAGAATATAGTTCACTCCTGTTACAGACAGCAAGGCTAGAAGGAAGGAGCATTAAATTACTCAACATACATATTATAACTAGTGCTGTCAAATGATTCATCGCGATTAATCGCATCCAAAATAAAAGTTTTTGTTGACATAGTATATGTGTGTGTGCATATTTATTATGTAGATATATATTGTAAAGATATATTATGTAAGTAAAAACTTTTATTTTGGATGTGATTAATCTCGACTAATCGTTCGACAGCACTAATTATAACAAATAGGTTTACACACGTAACATATTTACCTACCTATATACCACCTCTTTCTGTTTTCTTTTTCCATTTTATCAACCCAGGATTCATTCCACGAGTGGGCAAAGTCAATAAGTAAAAAAATCTGAATCAGAATAAAGCTAAATGCTCCACAGCTTCCCACAATAAACCACACTAAAGAAAAATACATAAATTAACATAGATTTCTTGCAAGCAAAAATTGAGCTGGCCATAAAGAATGGAGAGCATATGATTCATGGAGGCCTCCAAAAACTTGCAAAAAGCACTGTTTGTTTTTCCTTTAGCCATTGGACTGAACGATGAAAAACAATGCCTCTAGAGGTGATGCACAAGCAATGCTTAATAAGTTATTATGTTATTAATAATAAACCGAATTTTTAAAAAAAATCCTCTGCAAGTACAAATTGCTCAAAAAAATTTAACTTGTATTATGTTCTGGGTCAAGACCCATTTTGATTTTTGAGCTGTTGGAAATACCAGCTAACCTGTGATTTTATTCTTGAAATTTTGTGACTTTTTCTCATTTAGGGCCATGAACATGCATGCCAAGTGTGGATACGCTGATGTGTTTTGAAGAGCACACACATAAATTTGTAACGATTTTGATGTTCGCGGGTCAACTGTACAGTCCCAAATTAAATATATTTCTTGGGTATATTGTTATGTTGGTGTTTTACTACCCTGGAAAGCGAAAAAAATCAGCTTTTCCTCATTTTCTGTACTGAAAAAGACTTTCTCAGACTCAGATGGTAAAAGTGAGCTATCATTTCAATGTATATGAAATTTTCAATGTATATGAAATACTATTTAACTTTTCTTTTTCTTTCAGAAATTTTTTTACTTTTTCTCATTTAGGGCCATGAACATATCTAAATAAGTTGTGTTCCAAATTTGAAGTTGATATAAAAAAATTGTGGTTCCTATGCAATTTTGTTTAGGCATTATAACAAAACTAGCCACCGAGTGCCATTCAAACTCCATTGAATTTTTTATGCAATTGTTTTGTCACAAATGTATGGAAGCCCATTTCCGCCACTGAATTAAAAAAAGAAGGTAATTGGGGGACTGATATGTTCTCAGAATTGCGAGTTTATATCTCTCAATTCTGACTTTTTAGCTCGTAATTCTGACTTTATATCACGCAATTCTGAGAAAAAAAGTCAGAATTGTGAGATAAAAAGTCGCAATTACCTCTTTTATTTTTTATTCAGTGGCGGAAACGGGCTTCCATAGATCTGAGCTCAGTCTGTTGTAAACAACTTGAGAAGCAATGTTCTCAACGCATGCAGCTAAATCATGTGCTTGATGTTATTATGGCCAACACTAGAATACACCAGCAATTAAAAATGATCTCTAGAGTACATGTGTTTAGTAATCTCCAGAATAAAATGTGGAACTCACGCACTTAATAATATTCATTATAACCTGCAAGGTCGTGCTTGTCTGTCTTTATTGTCTGACACACTCACTTCATCCACTGTGTGCAGAAATACTACAGACCAGGATGAAGAACCACTATAAGTGTATAAAACCAAAGTAGGCTATTATGTAGAATACATGTGTTTAATAAAATTATCAAGAATTTACCTGTTTTTAATATTATTCTGTAGATTTCATCTGTTGTTAATATTATTCTCAATTACTTATCTTTATTATATTATATTATATTAAAAACCTTTTTGACATGTAATTGACGTGACGTAACTGAACTGCCCCGCTGCTGACTGTCAGAGGAAACAATATAATCCAGTTAAGCAGGAGCGTAAATAACAGGTGATTTTCTTGGCCTGTCCTGCTTTCATTACACATTAATCAAATTTATTTGATTCATGCAAAGTTTCATTATAATACAATCTGAACAAAATGTGAATTTATTCATAAATAAAGCAAACCGATTTACCCAACTAGCCAGGGTCCCTGACACAGCACCCATAATCTACCTACTTTCAGCAAGAGACACAATACCTCAAATCTCCTGTTAGTGTTAATAACGAGTCAATTCAGAATAAGAGGCAAATTAATAAAAACAGGAGCGACCCCTTAGAAATTGACACAGCATGCTGAAAAATATCATGCTGGTCTTAAAGGGATAGTTCACCCAAAAATGAAAATTTGATGTTTATCTGCTTACCCCCAGGGCATCCAAGATGTAGGTGACTGTTTCTTCAGTAGAACACATTTGATGATTTTTAAGTCCAGCCGTTGCAGTCTATCAGTCGTATAATGGATGGCAATGGTAACAAAGTCTATGAGTGTAAAAAAAACATGCACAGACAAATCCAAATTAAACCCTGCGGCTCGTGACGACACATTGATGTCCTAAGACACGAAACGATCGGTTTGTGCCAGAAACCGAACAGTATTTATATCATGTTTTACCTCTAATACACCACTATGTCCAACTGCTTTGAGCGCGCACACGGCTTCCGGTGCATGAGGCGAGTACGCGCTCTGGCGTAGTTTACGCAAGCGCCGGAAGTGATCTCTCGCGCGTATACGTCACTCATTGTTTACACAGTGCACAGTCATTGTAGGTACGGCGGCTAATCAAAAT